CCCCCCCCCCACTCCACTGTTGAATCGATCCCCGCACCCCTTCCTCCCCCAAGGACAGGGGGGATGACCCGAACCCCTCGCCGCAACACGCTCTTGCGGAATAATTCGTGTTGCTGCCCCGTCGTGCGTGTAAGGCGTCACGCACCCCTAACGATACGTGTCGCGACGTTGTCAGATTCCTCGGTGGGATTTTAACCGTTTGAGGGAGATTTAGGGGTTTTGAGGTTGATTTGGCAAGGATGGGGTGTTTTACGGCCGCAAGCAAAGTGGATTGGGCCGTGCAATCACCGTTATTGAGACGTCCGGCTTGGGCTGCCGGAAACTCCGGGGGAAGGGTGCAATACTATCGCTTTAAGGAAAAATGCCTTATGAACCTTAGAATGTTGTCAAATTTTTGCCAATAAAATATTTATTTCATGCGAGAAGTTATGAATACTGCTCCCTGAATTTTTAACAAACTTTGAAACCAACTGTAAATTATAATCTCAGAGCAATTGGAGGTTAAATATATATGTCACATCGAAGGAAACCTTGCAACGTCCAAAGGCTCTTCCTTATCACGGCAGAGAAGGCGTAGCTCTCTACCGACTCACAAAAGATCGTTTTCGATACATCAAAAAGGTGAGATTGTATCGATATCGATTGGTTCAACATGTAAACATAGCCTCAAAAGTCAGTCGAGTAATCTGAGGAAACGGGGTTTTTCTGATAGATTTTTGATTCTTATGAGTACTAAATAGCATCGCAAGGTGAAATAGTTAGGAATTTCCTCATTTTCAGCTTTTCCGACTGAAATTCTGGAAGTTTTGAATGAGGTTATGTTCTATTGTTTTGAACCAAACGATACATCGAACCACTATCGAAAACGATCTATTAGCCGCGCAGGCAAAAGTAAAGCCAGTGGCGAAGCGTAAGCGTTCGACTTATCGATATTTTCCCATTTGAAGCTATGGTAAAGAATCGATAATTATGGTGTTCATTGACCCCCTGACATTCAGGACACCCTGTTAATCGATACTTTTCCATTGGTTCACGGGGCAGATCAATCGATTTATCGCAAAGCACGCCACGCCACCGAGTAAAGCCACCTCAAAGCAGAAAGTCTAAATGTAGTTTTATTTTGGACACATAAGGAACGCTGTCTTCATGCACTTTATGGATCAGATTTTAAATTGGTTGTGATCAAATTTTTACAGTACCTAACTAGGTTACCAGGGCCGGATTTACCAACTTGCCGCCCCCTTATCATTCGTTTTGAAGCATCAATAAAAACCTTTACTTTAAGTGAACGTGCCAAAGGGAGAGGGGTGCATTAGACGCGTTCATTCTTGCTGGACACATTATTTGCGAAAACCCTGTCAACACCACTAGCAAAAGTTCAAAAAACTTTGCGCAAAAGTTAAGTTCCATATACCTATCTCTGTGTGGACGAGGCCTTCCATTTGAAGAAATGAACGAAAAAATTATGAAAGAACAAACATAAACTTGATTTTATAATTTTAACTTCCGCCGCTGCGCCGCGATGACCGAAATGGGTTTGGCGCAATTCATTCTTGTGGGCGCTTTGCGTTTCACGCCGACCGCTGTTGACCGCACTGTGTTTGACGCAATCCGTGAAGTATTCATGCAGTCCTGTAGGCGCTATGCGTTTCACGCCAACCGCTCCTGACCGCACTGTGTTTGACGCAATGCGTGAAGTATTCATGCAGTCTTGTAGGCGCTGATATGTGTTACATGCCGACCGCCGCGCCGAGGGTTTCTCCTGTTCATCTCGAGTTCTCGTCATCATTGCTCTCTGCGCCGCGCCGTTCCAGGCCAAATTGTGTGTTTGGTTTCTCTCTTAACTCGACTAATCAAGGGTGCTGTCTCTTGTATCACCGAAAGATGACAACATTAGAAATTACTATTCTCTCAGGAAATGAGAGATTTTGTCACCATTTCTTGTTTGTAATTTTTTTCTGAATCCGATTTTTTTTTATACCTATATTTTAAAAAATTGCAAAATTTGCCATTTGCCACCATGGGCCGCGGCCCATGTGGCCATCCCCTAGATTCGGCCCTGTAGATTACACGAAAGACATCCAGATTCTTAAATAATAAAATAAATTAAATGATTAGTAGACTGTTAAGATACGATACGCACTTACCACTGACATCTACTTCCACAGCATCCGGGTGCTTTTGAAAAGCTGCCATTTCCTGAAATGGAAGAGAAGTCTAGAGTTACTTTTTGAAGTTTCTTTTAATAATGTGATGAAAACTCAGTGTGATAAGATACATATTGATAACCAATAGTTGTAATAATATACAAGACTCCATAATTAAGTTTCAGACATTTTTCCGACGCTTTTGTCAAAACGTAGGATTGTTTAATTTTTCTATTGTAAAGAAGAGATTGATCTAACCACGCGAACCACGCATTTTTACAGCTTGTGTGAATTTATGATACTCTACGATATAAAATGATAAGAGGAACGTATAACGCATACCTTCTGAGGCACGAAGCGCCTCGAGGGGTTGGTCCGCGAAGCGGTCAGGGGTTGGACCCCTACAGTATTCTATGACAGACCAAGTAAATTTCAGCTGGTAACGTGTATTTATTATCTTTTTAAAAGCTTAACATAAAAAAGACCTTTAAAATCCAAAATCCATGGCTTCGAAATAATCATTAAGATGTTAATCAATTGATGAAGATTGACCTACAACGTTTTTGGTTTTTTTTCAGATTTTTTCTTGCTTCGACAATCCTGGCTGCCTTAATTGAACTAAGCCCTGAGGAGGTGAGTGTTTATTCTTTCTTAAAAGTGACATCTTGCTTGATTTTTGCCTCTTATTAAAAACAAAATGCACAACGCTCGACATTCGGTGGAGCATAGAAGCAAACAAAAAGTTTCCAATAGAGTTTCGGCTAACACTGCGAAAAATTATACGACCGTCCAGAGGGAAAGGCACCTTAATACTCGAGAACTCAAAGTTGAGTTCATAGAATAGTTTGAAAGAGTTTGAAACAAACAGTGCCTTCAAATATCAAACCAACTTGGACTTATAGCGGGTTGACATTTCAAGTTCAGGAGTATTTTCGAAAAACAGCTACCAGACTGTAATAAAATTGTTCGTCCTTCATTGGCACACATATTGACCAAACAGCGCGCAAGGCATTCTTTATGACATTTAGAGAGAGTTTTGTGATAAAATCTCAAACTCCGATCTTTACAACTCAATCACATCAACCTAACTATAATTTGACGCATTCAACCATAACCAGTTTAATTATTCCATCAGGTATTACCTAATTTCATATCATATTCCTTTTGTTTAAAACAGAAAATTACGCAAAATTCTGATATAAGTTTTTTGAGTGTGCTTTTTCATGATCTTGAGCGTTTTTTCGACGCTCTGATCAATATCAGGGTTGTCACAGTCAGGAAATACCGGGAAAACCGGGAAATGTTAGGGAAACTGACGAAGATGTCAGGAAAAGATCGTGAGGTCCCCTTCATTTACTTTCTCGAGTGGGTTTGACATTTTGAATAACAAATTTTGCTCAAAAACTATTTCTAACTACAGTGAAAGCTCGCTAAGTCGAATTAGGTAGGGACCGACAAAAAATTCGACTTGAGCGGTAATTCGTTTTAACCGATTTTCCGCTTAACCTAGGAACGTGTCTAGGGGCCGAAATGAAATTCGACTTAATCGGCATTTCGTCTTAATCGCAGTTCAATTTACAATCAGTGAACTTTTACTGTGTGTCTTTTTAACAATCTGGCATTTGTTCAATTGTCTGGGAATTTCAGCAAAATGTGTCAGGGAAATCAGGAAAATGTCAGGGAATGGAGATATTGCATTTGTAAGGGATTTGCGATTTGACCATTGATTCGTATGTAAAAGTTCGCGAGGAACACGATGGTGCCACTGGTTTTCTCTGAAATCAACTCCCAAGCTCAAAAAAAGCTCTCAAGTTCAGGCCAAAATGGAGGGGATATCCCACGATACCCTGAGAGTCCACCTCTACATTAAAACAAACTCTCCATGCAAAGATTGGGAGCAAATACATTAGCAGGGTTGCCGTGTTTTCAGTTGTGGAGTCCCCAAATAAAGTGGCATCCCTGTCAATGTATTTGCTCCCTATCTATGTATGGACAGTTTGTTTTGATGTAGAGGTGGACTCTCAGGGTAGGGTGGGATATCTCCTCCATTTTGGCCTCAACTTGAGAGCTTTGTTTGAGCTTGCGAGTTGATTTCAGAGAAATCCAGTGGGACCATCGTGTTTCTCGCGAACTATTACATTAGAATCAACAGTCAAATCGCAAATTCCTCACACATGCAACATCTCCATTGAATTTTTCAAATGCTGTGGCAATCCTGAAATTAGTCGAATATGAGAGACACCTAGGCAACGTGAAATGTAGTCAGGATGATTTTAGAAAATGCCGTAAAGTTATCTTGCTGAAAATTTTGTCTCCGTGGACTAGGGCACTTTATTCCGTGGATGGTCGCAAAGAGGAGAAAAAATTAGAGGTGTTCCTTCAACCTTCAGTGAAAGTGCTGCGTGGGCCATAAAACCTGTATGAAATCTCGGAGAGCTGACAGGAAAGTCAATATAACGCACCGACTTTGTGAGCCTCCTCGAGTCAGAATCTTGGACACGACGCGTGAAACTCTCAAGGAGTGCGAATTAAAAAGTTTCGCGAGCTTTTTGTCTCCTCCTTCGATGAAAGTTCACCGTGAACCTCTTGCCCCGCCGGGCAAGGCTGCCAAATTTGTGAGCACAACACGGGAAAAATAGGATCCCTCTATATCCCTTTTGTTATCTTTGTCTATAGCTTTGTCCTTCAATTTCAACGATCAGCTCGCTGACCCTTGCCGGAAACAGTTACCGCGGTTTATGTAACCGAATTTTTTAACCGTACTGAGTTCGGTAGTATGCAATGAACCAAATTGTTGACAGAGCTCGGTTTCAGTAACCGAGTATACACTGAAAAAAAGATTGGTAGAATTTACCATTCCTTCACGCTGTATTTCACACAGCGTGAATTGATTCAATCGGATTTTTGCTTGAATCAAAACGAAATCCGCTTAAATTAAGAGGCTTGGTTCTTGATTTAAGCTAGATTCTGATTGAATCAAGAGTTCTTTTTCTTGTCGATGTTTTTAAGACTCTGGACACTAGTCCAATGTGTTTTTTTTTCCAGTGTAGTAATTTTTACCTTTCTTCTGGCAGAATTCACTCTGAACTGACGCTGTGTGTAATACAGCGTGAAGGAACGATAAATTCTACCAATCTTTTTTTCAGTGTACAGTTGACAGAACCGATATCACGGTTCTGTGATCGTAACTCTGCGATTGATACGGAACGCCATACTCGGATACGTGCAACAGAACTTTCTTTGTGTATGCGGCTTTCCCACACGCGAAATACATCCCCCAAAAAAGTGTCCAAATCCACGACAATCTGCAACAGCGTGGTGAATTTCGCGTATTGCCCGGATCGATTCGTGCTAGTCGAAGCAATCATCGAAAATTAGGCCGGCACCCTCCACCCCTTTAAGGCTCGCTTGGCAGAATCGCGCAAAACTCTATTTTATGGTCGCGCAATGAAAAAGGAGAGTCCTTGGAGGGCTGTTTAGCTGTTGCGCTCTATCTCGCGCCCCCATCTCCCCCCTCCGCCTCCCCCCGTGGCCCCCCGGGCGGCCCGATCGTCGGGACCTCGTTGGAATTCGGCGCTGGGATCGGGTACTTTTTACCGCCGAAAATTTGTACGGCGAGGGCAATGGCTTCGTGTAGGTGCCTCCGGTGCTGCCAAATTGCCGCGATTTCGATGATGAAACAATCGAAACACGTACCTCGGTTTGCAACGTTGCAGGTTTCCCGTCGCATTTTAGTTTTATTGACGGATAATTTCCATTTAGCAAAAAGGAACCAGCACAGTTATCATAGTTGTCATATAAATGGATTGCATTTTGCAAAAAGGAACCAGAAACATTGCAATGATGCTAAGATTGTGCAACTTCACCCTTCGCAACAAAAATACTGAAATCATGTAAAAATATGAAATTTACATGAAAATTTTTGTCTTAAATTTACAGTTTTTAGCGAGAAAAATAGAAACCGTTAATGGATAATCAGGTATTTCTTCCAAGGCAAAAGAAGTTGCACAATCTATGCAATCAAAATGTTGCTTTACCAAAATTATCTAAAAAATCTCCCAGAATAGCAAATAGTTTTGGCTACCCACCAAAAATTTGCTAACTTTGAAGGAAAATAATTGTGTACATTTTAATACTGGACTCACATTAAAAAAAATTGAGATGTGGTCATGGAATTTTGTTTGGTAATACGCGGGCATTAGTGCCGTGCGAAAAAAAATTCAATAAAATGACGTCAAGCGATCATATCGTTTAGCACGTAGTTCCTCATAGAGTATGGGTTTTCTTGCAAAATCCAAAGATGCTACTGAGGTGTCGTGTGTAGATGGCTGACTGGCATGTTCACGAAATCATTTCAATTCAATAGTTCCTTTCACCCAAGAGGTATTCCCAACTGATTAGATTCATCCCAGGTAATATCGAAAAAAAAGGCGACTTTTTCGAATTTCCGATTGGCAACAAATGCTTTCCTGGTGCTAATGCGATGAAACACTGCCCTCACCCGCAGACAATAATATATTAGTTCTTGAACGTACATCTAGCCAAACGATGGTGAAAACCCAGCTTTTCCTTATCAAAAGAACATACCGCTCTCAAATTTTAAAAGGAAATCTGGCAAGCCTGGAAAAGTAACCCACGCACGGCTAAGTAATATGCAAAAAGCGTCGAGCAGCCCCCCCAACCCTCCCCAACACCTCCCCCAACCCCGCCTCCCTCCCTCCCGGCGGCCATAAATTGAACAGGGCTCTGCGATGAACCCCTGTTGAATTCTGAGGTCTCTATCTATCACCTCGGTTAAAAATTCACACCCGAGGTGCGCTGCGGGCTGCGGCTGCGGTGGAGGCTGGGCGTAATTTGTCCAAGTGATTCATCGTTTTAGGAACGCTGTTCACACGGCTCAGAGAGGATTTCGAGAAAGCAACACCCACTTGAGTATTTCTCCATGCACGGGATCGCGCTGGAGGCGTGAAAGAAAGATGTCGCGAGGAATTATTTACCGGGATGGTTGTGCTCGTGGGTTTTTTAAGGATAAGGGGGTTCGGAGCATGGAGGCAGTGTACTGCTGTGCTAAGAAAAAACACCGTAAGAACCTTCAGGCGTTGCTAAATTCCCGCCGATAAAATACGAATTTTGGGGAGAATTTGTGAATATTTTTCTTTGGATTTTCCAGAAAATTTTATCTGTGAGCAGATCCTCAGAAAAGCCTCCAGGCACTGCTAAATTCCCTATAATGGGATACGCATTTGGAGGAAAATTTATGAATATTTTTCTTTGAATTTTCCAGAGAATTTTATTTAAGAGCAGATATTTAGAGGAGCCTTCAGGCGTTGCCAAATTCCCTCCAGTAAAATACGAATTCTGAGGAAAATTTGTGAATATTTTTCTTTGAATTTTCCAGAGAATTTTTTTTATAATTAGATCTCTATTATCTACAAATTTTATGAAAAAATATTCATAAATCTCCTCATAAATGAATATTAAATTAGAGGAATGGCAACTCTCGAATGTTCATACGGCGTTTTTCCTTAGCACGACAGTGCGAGTGCAGTAATTCGAAGAATACGTGACTACTAGTCGCCGATTAGGCTTCACGACGCGACGACGTCGCTCCTGTGACGTTAGAGCGTAGCTCG